ATACTTTGATCATGTTCCATTCCTTTTTGAATTCTAATTTCAATCCAATTGTCTCCTAGCAATCTTCAACGTATCTTCTTGAGTATTTGCAATTGGATCCTCGAACTTTGGATTTTACCATTTTTCACTATATTTTGCTTCTTTTCTCCAATTCTTCATCAAACATTGAGTTTTACCTGCGAGATGCAATATAACACAATTTAGGTCGTATTTTGTCAAAAGAATAATAAAATTCTATAGTTTCAAGCCTCGAATAAGCGTAGAAAATACACTTATCAAGAGTTTATTATAACCACATGATATCCATACAACATTGAACGTTGGATTGACTTAAATTAAAGGTCATGATTATTTGTCAAATAAGTATGCCAAATTAATGAGTAGGAGGAATAGTTCCGTAAAATTATTTAAGACATTACAAGTTATATTATAGTAACTCAACGTCTTTCAATATATTGCTTTACATTTCAAAATAAAAATTAACATAAGACTATAAATTGCCAAACGTCAATTTTCATTATTTAGTAATATGAAGTGATCGGAAATAGAAATTTCAACATAATAAAAAAGGATTTTGAAATTACCTCCACATACACGATGTTATTTAGTAATCCAATTGTTTCTATAATAAATCCCTACATTTTATCTCGATAAATTACTGAACCTCTATTATATGTATCTTGATTGCAATCGGTTACCTATATTTATGTTAATTGGGTTATTTAGTAATTTTATGTTACAAGATATTTCAAGAAAAAAAAATTCGTTTTAGCGTTTTTGGAATTATCTTTCTATATTGGGTTATACGTGAAATTGTAGTTATTTAACTTTAGATAGTGAGCCAAATTATTTAATACATGTCAATTCAAAGAATCACTCTGTACTTGTAAATTCGGAATGGACAAAAGTAAGCAAGTCTATAAGCCCCTCAACATCGCTAAAAGTTCCACCTCCATTGTAAGCTAGGCATCATGACATCTCAATAACTTGGCAGCGTGGTGGAGTAATCATTGGGATTTTGTTTCACACGTTATTAAGCATGATGCACTCATGTAACTCTTTTCAAGTTGAATGAAATTTTGCTTTGTTATCAAAAAAAAAAACAAAAAATACATGTCAATGAAAGTCTGTATAGTAAGTACCATGTTAATCAAGTTTGTATTTTGGAATTTAATTAGAGAGATTAATTGGTGCATATCTCATTTTCTCATCCTAAATTTCACATTAACCCTTTCTTTGATTGGGGTATCATTGTAATATAACCACAACTTCTTCGGGATGAAGTGAAAAGCTGATAATCAATGCGGACTTAGACACGCACGTCACCATGCTTGATGAATATGAACGTTGAACGAGGCAGAAACTTTGATAATGAAGTAACGATAGCTCGTGTGGACTCATACATTTGAACACCATCATGAAACTAAAAGATGAGAAACGAAAACCGGGAGTGGACAAAATATAGCACACCCTTCTACAACCATGAAAAAAAAAACCAGAATTTTTAACCGCTGCCAACGGTTGTAAAACCGTCAACCGCCATATTTTATGAATCGTTGCTTTTAAAAATAAATTCCAACTTCCATCTTTCATTCATCCCCTATTCAAGATGAAAATGTCTGCGGCACCATCAGCGCCGCCGGAGCCAGAGGCAATGTCTTCTCATTTTGATCAACGGCAAACGCCAGTCACTGGAGTCCCAGTCTCGATAAATGTTGCCGATAAGCCCGTTTCGAAAAAGACTCCAGGGCGGTGGTCCACCGGTTTGTGTCATTGCTTTCACGATCTTAGCAGTTGTAAGTTGTTTACTTTGTACATGTACTAAATGGTACTGTAATCAAGGATTCTCGTTTCACAATTATGTTCGAGTAAAGAATACAAAAATAGTTCTTGGTACATTTTTGTGACTTTCTGTGGTGTTTTTTTTTTTAACTAGGTTGCTTAACATGCTGGTGTCCATGTGTAACATTTGGTCGGATTGCAGAAATTGTGGACAGAGGATCAACATGTAAGCCTCATATACTGTACCTATACTGCATATTTCTTGATAGTAATTGCGTTTGTATTTGACTTGCAGCATGCGGAGTAAGCGGAGTATTGTACTCGATGATGTTGTGCCTAACAGGTTGTTCGTGTCTGTATTCGTGCTTCTATAGGTCCAAATTGAGGGGACAGTATTTTTTGGACGAGAGCCCGTGCACTGATTGCTGTGTTCATTGTTGTTTTGAGACTTGTGCCTTGTGCCAAGAGTATAGGGAGCTCAAGAACCAGGGTTTTGACATGTCTATAGGTACCTCTTTCTCTTCTCCACACACACAAATTGTCAAATATTCACACAAGAAAGATAAGTCACAAGCATATTAGCATGTTTTATCATTCTTTTTGTTATGGGGAAAGATTAATTATTGAGCTTATTATAGGATCATAATATATTTGGTACGTTACATTGAATATGATCGAAGAGTATAATCTTAATTACGTGAAATTCTATACAATCTAGAGTACTACTAGATACGCTCTAAAGCTCAAGTGATAATTAACACACGTCTATGATTTAATATTGTCTATTACAAAAAGAAATCATTAATTGTAACTTGAAATAAAGAGATTAGAATGTCCAACTTTCTTGAACTTTTTCTTATTTTGAAATGGAAATGTAGGGTGGCATGGGAATATGGAGAGGCAGAAACGAAAAGCAGCTGCATTAGGTCCATCTGTGCAACAAACTATGCAGCGGTAGGATAGGGGACGAGACGATGTGGCACTTGTCCACACATATACATGTTTTTATTTTATTTTTTCAATTTACCTCTTCAATACAGCAATAGGATTTTATTCGAAAAAATCAAAGTTAAATAAAAATTGTAAAAATTGTCCACACATATCCTTGTGTATGGTCTGCATTTGATTCATAGTGGAGCTCCAGATTTCAAATATTTCATACTTTATTCTAGTTATTCTGCATGTGCAGGGTCGGGGTTCCGACAACTCATATAGGGAGGGGTACTTTTTTTTTTTTCATTGAGGTGGGTCACGCGTGGGTCCCACCCCTATGTGAGTTTTCGGTCTGTACATGTGGAGCAACTCTATTCCCTTGCAATAAAGAAAAATGTTTCTTTGGGAAAAAAAAGTTGATTCATAGTTGAATTGTACAATCCCTTTAAATTTCCAGATTTCAGATATTTCATACTTCACTCCCTTGCAATAAAGAAAGGTGCTTCTTTGGGAAAAAACATTTAGTGTGATTATAATGACTAATGGAAAATAGTTTTGAATGTACAGTAAAAAAAAGTTTAAATTTAATTTTAAATTGCAAAAAAAATTATAATGAGAACCTCAAACAATGCATAAATCAAGTTTTTTTGAATTGAATTAATGTTGATATGATTACTTACTACATACTAACTTGCAATGAAGAAAGAGGTGTATAAAATTTTGCCAATTGTTATGTTGAGTTTAATGCATGAAATATCATATTTTTGTTTGCTTTCTAGTTAGCAAGAAAATAGAGTTGAAAATATCAAAATTTCAAATTTGTTTCAACACATTAACATTTACTTTCTTGGTATATACCGTAATTAACTGAGATTGAAAATATCAAAGTTTTAAGATTGTTGAAATGCAGAAGACTAGAGAAAAGATAGATAATAAATAAAGAAAATTAGAGAAAAGATAGAAAATGTATGAAGAGAAACTATATTTTTGTCTGTGTTCTACAATGTACACAAGCAGCCTTGCTGATTAAAATAGGTAAAACAATAATTAAAGAACTAATTAATTTTTTAATTACAATCAATCAGTGTAAATCAAGAGTATACGGAATAAGTCAAGGATTAATCAATGATATCTTGAAATCTTGGAATATATTCTAGAATTAGTCTAAATGTACACAATTCTTTACCAAATGGATTACACCCCCCTCACATGAAGGGGGGCCCACACACAATAAAATATTCGTGAGTCCCCCTCCATGTGAGGGGGTGTAATCCATTTGATAAAGTATTGTGTGTACATTTAGCATATTCCTATATTCTAACACCAAACTCAAGGTGGTGAAGTGGACGCCAGATTGAGTTTGGAAATACGAGATCTGAACAAGCCAGGAGGATGCATCTTTGTGAAAATATCCGTCAACTAATTAGCCGAAGGATCTAAGCATAGATGGAGAGTGCCCTTCCGCAAATGATGACGCACAAAATGACAATCAATCTCGATGTGTTTGGTGCGCTCATGGAAGACATCATCATTGTGAGCAATCTGAATGGCACTATGATTGTCACAATAGACAAAGATACTAGATTGTAGAGAAATATCCATATCCTGCAGAAGCCAACGAAGCCAGAGAAGCTTGGAAGTGGTGTCAGCAAGTGCCTGATACTCGGCCTTAATGCTGGAACAAGCTATTTTTTTCTTGATCTTCCAAGAAATAAAGGAACCATCCAACAAAAAAAGGACCGTCGATCAATAGAATCACCTGTCCAATAAGCATTGGAATAAGCTTGTAACGTTAGTGAAGATTGGGGAGAAAAGTGAAGCCCATGGAACAAGGTACCCTTTCACATAACATAGAATTTGAAGAACTGCTACATAATGAACAAAGCAAAGAGCAGTCATAAACTGGCTAACAAGATGGACAACATAAGCAAGATCCGGGCATGTAACAGTAAGATAAATAAGGCTCCCAACAAGTTGTCGGTAAAGGGTAGCGTCCCGAAATGGCTCCCCATCAGCAGCACGAAACTTGAGGTTAGACTTAAAGGGACTATCAATAGTTTTGCAATCAGTAAGACCAACATGTGAGAGTAAATTGGAACCATACTTGGCCTAAGTTAGAAAATAGTCATCAGAGGAACCAAACACGTCTAATCCTAGAAAGTAAATGAGAGAACCAAGATCCTTAATTTCGAAATGCTGACTCAAAAACTGCTTGACCTTATCAATACCAGAGAGATCGTTACCAATAATATTCGCTTCATCAACATAAAGGAGCAGAAAAGAAATACCAACAGTAGTATGGCGAGCAAAAAGAGCAGAGTCATGAGTGTAATATCCCCAAATCTAGACACCTAGATTTAGAGATATTATCATTTAACTTTATCTTAAAATCATTGATAAGTGCATTTTATGTGCTTGTCTCGACTTCTATTCTTATTTATTTATATATAATTGAGCGATTTATATACTTAATTGTGTAAATTATGATAATTGTAGGAAAATTCCAACTTCGATACAATTTATGTGAAAAGATGTTATTTGGAGTTTAATTGGAGTTGACTTGAAGCAATTGAAGATTAATTGGAGTGCATGATTTTGGAAAGAAGTGAGGACTTGAAGATAAATTATGTATTAAGCATTTGGAAGTGGACGGCAATTGGCAGAAGAGCAGTTTAGTTAGAACTAAATTGCTATATATTAATTGGGATGTGAATGAAAGACAAGCAGACTCCATTTAAAAGAAAGAAATTGAGCTGAATTATATTATTTTTATACACAAACACATTGGGCCGGCCCGGAGGTTAGATACATAAATTGGCGGTGGAGTGGAGTGTATATATACACAAAAATACCTACACAAGAGAGCAGCCGTGGGAGAGAACTAAAAAACAGAGAATTGCCGGCAGATTGAGGAGAGAGTCAAGAATAGTGGCTGGTTGATTTTGGAGAGGAAATAGAGTCAAACATTGCTGCTCAATTTATTGTACACATACATAGTGGGCAGCTTTGAAAAAGGGGCTGGAGTTGAAATTCTTTTGGAGTCAAAGACGACAGCTGGAGAGGAAATTGGACACACGTAGAAGCTGGCAGATTTAAGGAAACTGGACAGCTTGGAGATTGTAGCTGCAAAATCAGTTTTTTCTGACTCTTTTCTTTTCCATGCTTTATTTTCAGATTTTATTATGCCGTTTCAATTTGTCATGAATTAATTTATTTATCTAGGGTTTGATGTAGCCGAACTTGATATTATGATTTAATTATATTATAGTTATTTATGTTTGATTTTCCACATATGTTTGATTGTGTCATGAAATTAATGCTTTCAATTAATTGGCCACTAATTGAATGAATAGATGCTAGTCAATTCCGGCACTCGAGAGAGGGGAATTTAGGCATGATCATAAGATTGACACAACGTAGATTTTATGGGTTTCGAGAGAAAGTGTAAAATCTATGAAGCTTACTCCACAAAAGAATCAGGACTTTGATAAATTCTAGACTTTAATTCGGAATAAAGATATTGGGATTGAATTTTAGGATTATTTTCTAGCCGGCACTCGAGAGAGGGGAGAGAAATATATTAGGATTCTTGCTTTCAAACATGAGAAAATTGACTTGAATAACTGGAGATAATTGAATTATAATTGATGGTGAGGTGAAATCATTCCCTAGGCCTTCTTGCATTGATAACTCTCCTATAATTTGTCCTATTTTACTTGAATTGTCACACATCCACGTTAATTTAGTATAGATACTTTGAATTTACATTTGATTTTCTAGATAAAGTAGAAGTTAACATAATTATAGTACTTAGTATAAAATCAGATATCAATCCCTGTGGGTTCGACACTTTACTCTTTTACTATATTACAAAACTTGACACCGTACACTTGCGGCATAATTTCACGTTGTAGAAAACGCGTGACAATCATAAATGCGAAAATGATTAATTTTTTCTTTGACATAATAAATATCAATGCCTTAATCTTTTAAAATAATTTGTGTTTAGTAAAATATAGAACAATTAAATCGAATGTTAGCTTTACAAAAAAGGAATTCAACATTTAAATAAATTAGTACCGAATCTGTGTCACCACAAATCGTCATCTCGAATCATCTTGCATTCATCATTTGAAATTGGGGAGGGATAACGCGGGATGAGTTAACACCCAGTAAGCAAACCTCATGCATAAGATGCATGCTGATAATATGCATACGAATTACTTTCTTTCATTATGTATCACATTTTCTTTCATTTTTTTTAAAAAAATTAACATTGTCGTCGTGAGCTTAATTGGTGTATTGTGTAGCCAATCAAAATGCAGTGGACAATTATATATACAATACACAAATATATACATTTCCTCACACACACACCTATATATGTACACATATACATAATAATACACACAATATATATATTAACACACTCATCTGTACACACATACATGTACCGTATACATATAAAATAAATATGCACATAATATAAAAATATGCATATAGATACATCCATGCACTCATGCGACATATACATACATATACAGAGACATTCATATACACACATGTGTATATATATATATATATACAGAAACATGTAAGTGCATAAAAGAAATTTCATATGTATGATATGATATGTAGTGGTATTTACATCATATAAATACAATATTTAGTTCTCAAAATGATGGCAAAACAATATTAAAAAAAATAAAACTTAATACATTCAAGAGTAGTGCCAAACCCTGTTTCCAATAATATGTTTAATATGAGAATAACACTTTTGGGATGGGGAGTTAGACCGCAAGAAATTAAAGTGAAAATGGAAGAAAAGTGGCTTTATGTAGCAACTTTTGGAGAATAAAGGAATGAATTTATTTTGTAAGGGAAGTGTATAATTAAGAAAGTTTTGACTTGAAATCTTGCGAAAATTATAAAAGGGTAATTATGCTACTTAGCTAATTAAAATCACATCAATTGACTCTATTAAAGAGTCCAATTACAAATCTCTTGTTTGGATATCAATCAAAT